TGTTTGTGTTCCTTATATATTGTGAGGAGATTTGAAATAATAACAATTTACTACAACAAATACTATTATTATTTTACTGGTTTTATTTAGACTTTTGCAAATACAATTCACTTATTCGTAATTGTTTGTAACAATTTAATATTAAATTTTAAAAAATGAACGTCATTTTGTAAATAATTGTTAAAGATTAATGGAGATTAATTATTTGTAACGAAATTTGTATTATTACGTAAATGGGTATGGAAATTCATATTAAATTTATGAAATGGAATAAAAAAGGTATAAAAGGTATAAAAAATTAATTTTATTTTCCAGGAGGTTAATTTTATTTGCATAAAGGTGAATTTTATTTGCAAACAGGTGAATATAACCTGTAAACAGATTCGTTTTTAGTGCCGCAGGGAGATCTACGAAAGGATTAGTTTTGAGAAGAAAATTTAAATATGATCTACAAAAGGATTAATTTTGAGAGGAAAATTTAAATATGATCTACAAAAGGATTAATTTTGAGAGGAAAATTTAAATATGATCTACAAAAGGACTAAGTTCGAGCGCAAAATCTGTACAATCTAATACGTGTGCGTTTAATCGCTGAATCGCTAAATCGCCACATCGCTCCAGCAGTTACATATTGAACTTGATCCCACCACTTTCGTTAGTAACTGCTAAAGGCATTCGCCGAATGGAGATTGCGGAAATCAACGATAGCCGATCTACGAACGCGTGATACTTCTTATGAACATTGTGGATCGTTAAAACGAAAGAGATAGCAAGCCGCGCCTTGAATAAATGGACAACTTTTCACATCAGCTGTGGGAAACCAGTGGCCAACGATCGGCAGACTGGCCTCGCGGCTTAATTACGTCACGGAATGCGATAGATGCAATTGCTGCCAGGTTAAAAGTTACATTTCTCCCGGCAACTTGGTTCCGCGGATTTCCATTGCTTATCGCTAGGAAATGATTAATTGCGGAACATTATACAAGTTTTCCACTCGAAATGTATCATTTTGCAAATATATATTCACACTTTCTTAGAAACAAATTGATCCTTTATTAAATAAAATAATACTTCTATCAAATTAATTCACCATTTCGTAAATGAAATCAAGCTCTTATCAAACCAAATTCACCCAATTGTAAATCAAATCAACCTTTTTCCAAATTAAATTCACTTCTTTGCAAATCGAATTCACCGCTTTGTCCTTTTTAAATCATTCCAAGAAAAATGAATCCAAAATAAATTTGTTGTTCTGAAATTTTTTATTTTATAATAAAATACTTATTTAATAGTGAACCCTCATCTATAATGAGCTTCCCGCGATGAAAATTTTATATGCATATTCATATAATGATTGTGTCAATCTTGTGTCAAAAAATTCAATTGATTCAAACGAAGATTTTAAGATCGATTAATCTATGTATATACATTTACAAAAATAAAATATCTTATATGAAAAATAAAATTCTCTGCACTTTTCGATCTTATAAGTTGGTGCCTGTGTTTTCAGATTCGTAAAATCATCCACAGTTTGCTGGACAAATAAAATTGGTTCTAAATTGGGCTTGCATTTCGAATATCTTTAAATAAATTAAATGCACATCAAGATCTGATATTAACAAAACCTAGACAAACAAATTTGGAATGGCTATGAATCAAAGGATATAACAATACTTTTGTCATTCAAACAACTACCTATAAATGAATGTAACTGCACTCATCGGTAAATACGAATTAATCTTTTTGATAATTATAGTGAAAAATTTATTTTTTTAACAATTATTGTGAAAAATTCATATTTTTAATAATTATTGCGAAAAATTCATATTTTTAACAATTATCGTGGAAAATTCATATTTTTAATAATTATATATATTTCTAAAGAATTAATCTTTAAGATATATTAAAGCTTGTTAAGTACTATGCAAAAAATAGACTAGAAGAATTTATTCTTATAAGAAAATTACTATATGAATAATAAATGTAACCATTTATACTGAGTTCGAAATTTAAGGAATAGAACAGCCTCAATGATACTGTAACAAAATAATTGTAG